GTTTAACCCCTGATATCTGTAATTATAAAAAAAAATATATATTTCAATTTCTTCATAAATGTATTAAATTATTCAACCTTAAAATATCACTTACTAATTAATGATTTTTTTACTTAAAATATTTTAATATATTTATTACATGTATAAAACAATTATCCCATTAAAAATTAGTTAATACGTTTCGCAATTTAGAAGTTTATGTATACCTATTATTACTTGTAATTTTGACATTATTGAACACTAATAATTAACTAAAAAAAGAAGCTCAGTTTACCCAAAAATAATCAATGATGTGTTTTTAAATTCTTAAATTTAATTAATTATTTTATTCAATTATTTTAATTTATATAAAAATTACTAAAAAATTCAAGATATTACCGAGTTAAACAATTTGAGTTCAATCTCTAATCCATTAAGGTATTAAATACAACTTTTTAAAATATATTTCTTGATCAAAATTTTGTTTGGATTAAAAATAAGCACATATTATAAGTAAATTATAAAACAATAATAATACATACGTAACATCGGAAAAGGATAGAAATAGCACCTATACCTCTGCCCATCTACACTACTTCGAAATAAAGAGTTTTATTATTATTATATCTTTATTGATGTAATAAAACTTATGGTAAAATTTATATTACTTAGATGATATTATTTAAAACAATAGCAAAAAACATATTTAGTAAGTAGAAAAACACGATTTTATCATTCTTAACTCATAGAAGTCTTACAAATTAGAAGATAGTGATTTACTGATACCTATTGAAACCATATAATTTATTTTTATGACATCAATAATTATTAGCCATAGTTACATACTATTTATCTATTTTGTAAGCCTTTTAATATTTACCCAATTCGCCCTGTGGGACAAATTTATCATCTCTTTAAATTTTAATAAAAATAAAATTTATATAAAATTTGTACATAAAACAATATGATAAATGATACTTAGACCAATTTTGAACTAATTTTTTAATAAACTATAAAAATCAATTTTAAATTTATCTTACCGGTCTATTGACATCAATTTCACCGTTCAAAACTTTTTTGTATAAATTTTTTGCTAACTCCTCAAAAACGTCTGATACGTTACTTGCTGTTTTGGCAGAAGTTTCGAAAAATAATAAGCTATTTTTAAAAGAAAAGTGTTCACCTTCAACTCGTTCTACTTCTCTATCATTTTCTAAATCTCTATAAAATAACAATAAATTATATTAATTATGAAATTTAAAAAAAATAGAAATTGTATATATAGGTATTGTTAAGCTTTTGTATCAACACATTCATGAAAATTTAATATTTATTTCCGGCAAAGTAAAATAATTATGTTATTACTTATGTTCGTGATGACTAATAAATTATAAGTAAAACGTGGATTTTATAGGTCTTACGTTATTTCATATTTTTATTGATTTTTCTAATTTAAAAAGTTTTATGTAACGGCTATATATTTTTCCTAATATAATGTATATAGTTATATTAAATGTATATATCGATTAGAAATTAAGTCGTTATTTTTAATATTCTTTCAAACATAATTACCAGAAAACCAATGATATCAGTTTTAATTTTTCTGAATAGATTTCATAAGTGTTAAGAAAAAATATAAAATTAAAATTAAGAAATTAAAAAAAAATTTATAAAAATGTATAAAATATTAATTAATAACTATATCATAATAATATATGATATGTATTCACATACATACAATATATTATATATTTAAACCAAAACTAATTTAATCCAAAAATAGAATTTATAGTGATGAACATTCAGCTATTTTGTTCCATAATGTAAGTTTATTTTTCCATTTTATTGTTTATATACATAACACGTGTATACATTGTACATATAATATACAACATAAACATAATAATATAATGTTAAAAATTATCCAAGTAAATTTAAACCATTAAATACAATAATTTGTTAGATTTTATAACTTTTTATCTAATTATAAATTCAATAGGTAATGAAGAGAGAAAACAAAATTATCACCTATAAAACCTTGCCCATGAGCCATAACAGTCTTTTGTCAAACTGCTAATATAAAATAATTCACTTAAATTAATTAAAGTCGTATAGTGAATAAAAAAATAAATATTTGTTTACATTTTGTTGCCCACTAACGCAAACATCATTCTGGAACCAGAATTAAGTCGAGCTTCCCTTAACCATTCGCTAACATGTTGAAACGAATAGCGTTTAGTTATATTGTAAACTAATATACAAGCTGCAGCACCCGAATAATACGATCTAGCTATAGACTTAAATGCTTCTTGGCCAGCAGTATCCCAAACAGCTATTTTGATTTTCCTGTTATACAATGACAACGTCTTATGTCCATAATCTACTCCTAAAGTAATAATTTAAACATAACACTTAAAAATTATAAAATAATTAAAAATTTATAATATTTAATATTATAATAATATGCTATGTTATAATATTTTCATATAACTGAAAATTTGCCATAAATAGTTTGAACCAGATCACAAAAATAAAGTTGAATCAGACCAATAGTAAAAAAATTACCTTATATTTTCATATTTTCAATTCTGAGCAAAGCGATGAATAAATTGGTTTTACAATGAAGTATGTGAGTGTCTATTTTTTTTTTTTTTTTTGTTCCACCTATACGTTTTATAGTAAAAAATACTTTAATCTTGAACGTCGAGAGTGTTTTTCAAAATTAGATCAAGTTGGTACTTTGAAGGGCATGAAAGAAAAAATTCTAAGTACTTTTAAAAATAACATTGAAAAAAAAACATTAACTTTTAACCAAAATTAAAATTTTTTATTTATAATACAATTCAATTCAAATGATATTTTCTACTTACAGATATTTGAAATTTAAAGTATTTTATTTTATTTTTTTTTTTCATTTATGTATAATAAAAATTTTATTTGTGAATAAAAAGGCTTTTAAAATTTAATACAAGAATTTTTATAAGTTATACTTACCACATTTAACAAAAATCAATAATACTTAGTCACAATGTTTTTTTTTCAAAAGTATTTCAAGTTAACAATCTTGAATGTTTTCAAATTATTTTGTAATTAAAGATTTTTAAATTGTTAATACTAATAATACTAAAGCTTGAAAATTGAATACAAGGTTCCTCATATTTTTTTCATTTAGAAACCTATAATTTTCAAAATAACATGAATGCAATTTTGTTAATTTCAATCGTTATTAAAAAAAATTCAAGTTTAAGTTTTGATACAATTGGATTTTAAATAAAAAATAATGATCAAAAAAAATCATTTGAAGAAACTTGAAACATTTCACCGTTCCGTTAACTATAAGCTATTATTTACTATACACAATGTAATTTCCAAAGTATTTGAATTAATTTTGATATATTAACATCACTAACCTAATTATACACTTCTACGATTCATCAGTATTAGCTTATAAGTTAATAACAACTAGTAATGATATAATAATTATTATTACATAGTATATGTGATTTGTTTTAGGAAAAATAAATTCAACCTATATTGTTACTAATAAAAAAAATTAATTATTTATAGATATCTAAATAAATAAAAATATGGTCTGATCAACCGTCTCCGCTCAGAATTATATTTCGTAGGTATACAATAATTCATAGTTGAATTAAAATTTATTATATTCTGAATACTGACACCTATTCAATGATTAGATTTACTCGACAGATACTATACAACAAAGCGATTATATTGGTTTTTTTTATTAGTTTGTTTTAAATTTTTGTAGAATTATTATTCTACACTCTATATTATACGCATAAAATACTGTTTTAGATTATTTTACTTACATTAATTTAATAACGCGCACAAAACGCGTTCTTTACAATAATTTAACATATACCTACGATATATACTTACCAATATATTATTATAAATCGCCTTATGCATTGTAGAATTTAAAATGTTTACAATAAAATATTTATTATATAAATGTATACCTATGGTCGTCAGCTCTTTAGAATCAAACTCATGGTATAAGAATCGTCTAGTAATGCACGTCTTTCCCACACCTAAAACACATGATAGAATTATTTGTATAAAATTAAGTTTCAAATACGATAGTTTCCATTAAAATAAATTATAAATTTAAAATTTTATATTTTATTTCTCGTTTATTATTATTTTAAAAAAAAAAATACTTATAAAAATGAATATAAAGGTTGTAATCAAAATTTTAATAGAAAATATATCTTATTTTATATTGTTAATGGGAGATTTTTATTGACATCATATAATAAAAATTAAAAATTAAAATATATTTAGAGCTTATAATATAAATAACCTAAGTATTGACATTTATATAATAATTAAGTACTTACCTACATCTCCCACCACAATATATTTAAACAAATAATCATAGCATTCGTTATTTCTCGGCATTTTAAAATACTATTTAGTTAAGTTATAAATTAATTAAACTACAAAACTATCATAAAACCAAAAAAATATATATATTTAAGTAGATATATTTTAAAATATTAATTTTTACAATTTCTGAGACGTAAATAATAAGTAGTAACAATGTACGAATGACAATTGTTCAATTGTAACAATTATAATAACCTATATTACTGAAAACAATGACAATAATAATAATACGTAAACAAAACTATTGATTCTATAAATTTGTGAACTATTGTACATTGAGATAATAAAAAAAATTAAGTTCAGAGATCAGCAACCAGTAAATATATTTACTAATACGTATATATCATATTACTAAAATATGATTGTTTTACTTCCATACAAGTACCCTTTTTAGGTACTAAATTCAAAAACCATTGGTGTTGACAAAAGATAAAAAAAAAATAGAACGTTAAATAGCATGTGCGACGATAAAATTGAATGTTACCACGACAACGCGCGTTGTCCAGTGGACAGGAAATCATTTTTTCCAGCAACTCTGAAAACAAGTAACCCTAGAATAAGTACACTTAACTATAACGAAGAACATTTACATGTTGTTCGATCTACGTGCAACACTTGGCTCCAGTGCAAGAATATCTTAGTTGTGTTTTTTTTTTTTATGTACCTACATAAATTCAGTCGCATATATTAACTTATTCAAAATGTTTGTATCTGTTTTACTTATTAATGCGTTGACTTAATTTTATCGAGTTAAATTCCTACATGACCCACATTATTGATGTCATTACATATAGTATAGGTCTATATAATGAAATTTATAATCAACAGGTCAATTTTATCACAAAACATGGAGAGCGATTTGGGTGTGATCTCCGTTGTCTACTTATCAATGTTTTTGGACAATGTACTTTTGACTGTAGTTGGTGAGATAATATAAATTATATTATTACGTAGGTATAAATAAACATTATTTATAGATCCATAATATTAAAAATGCCATATATATTATAACAGTATATTAGGCATGTACATTTTGAATATCAACAGCGTAATAAAAAATATTGCGCTTTAATTCAAAGAAAAATATTCATAGTAAAAAAATTCACACAAAAATAAATTATAATTAAAAGTAATACTACAATAAATCATAGAATTATTTATGTTGTTGTTAATTTTAATTTTTAACCAGCTTAACTTTGATATAAAGTAACAATTAAAGTTAGTAATTTTTAGCATTTAATTTCAAAATAATTATTCAAATCGCATAATTAATACACGTATTAATCAATGAAATAATTATTATGGTATTATTTGAAGTTTTAATTATCTAACATAATTTTTTTGTCACGTAGTTTAAAATGTTTAAACACTACTAAATCAGATATAACAATTTAATTTCAAAACATATATTATACTTTACAGTTGATATATAGCAGAGCAAAATACTTAATGTACCTATTTATTATATTACCTATTTAGCATACATATATATCGATTATATTGATCCTCAGACAAGTCTTAAACCTTATTCTATTTATTTTTATAAAAAAATTCTTTAAAATAATTTATTTTAAAAAAAAATAACTTTTTACATATTATTTTAGTTTTTACTGAAATCAATAATTGTAATTACCATAAATTTATGAGGAAACTCACAATTTTGTAAATTTGTTGGAAAATAATTTATAAACATTCAAGATTGAAATTTTTACCTATTTTTTATTCCATTTGTATACAATTATACTTCGTAATATATTTTTAAAAAAAATTAATACAGCTATAATCTATATAATATATTGAATCCAAGTAAAATGTATTATAGTGCCAATTATTCCTGAACATTTATACATACAATGGATCACCAATACAACGCATTTTGTAACTAATGTAACTAGAAGAGACCAACCGCTTCTTTCTAGGTAATATGGCTTAAGTTTTATTTGATATTTATTTTACTCAATATATGTATGAAATATATTTAGTTCATTGATCAAAATGAAATCGCAAACATTGGAAAATGAAAATGAAACAATAGGCATCTTGTTATCTTCAAAAGCTATTATCCAGTTATTTATGAATCCTTTAGTGGGAATTTTAACATCATACGTCGGATACAGTTTACCAATATTCCTTGGATCAATTCTTTTAATTATAGTATCAGTTTGTAAGTAATTTACTTTAAAATGTATATAAATCTAATTTATAAAATGTGTATATAGACTTCGTAATTTACAATCAACATAATATTTGAAAGATCTTTAAAACAAGAAAAATACATTTGTAGCTATTATATATAATTTATTGTAATGTCACAATAATATAATGATGAAATAAAACTAGTTATATATAAACTTTAATTTTATAAAAAAATATTTCATCTATTCAAATATGAACGTAATTAAATTATCAATAAATTGCATAAAAATTTTCAGATTTTAGAAAATATTGTATTTATTTTAGTTAAAAATATTAATAAATGATAGTAACAATAATACAATAATAAAATTGTTAATTTTTTGATCTAATTACAATAATTACATATTAGATACTTATTCAAATTAAGTTATGTAAGGTAAATTATTAATTTGGAATTCGATTTTATGAAGATAAAAAGAATAGGTGCTTGCAATCAAAAATCAAAGTTGAATTATTTTTAGGAAATAAAAAACATAATACATTATAACATTATGATATATAATAAATTATTACCAATATAAATCATATTCTCATTATTTATAAATAAAATTATAATTTTAAATGCTTGAATTAAAAACAATTTGTTTTAAATGTCATCTTATTGAAAACAAAAAAAAATATATAATTTATTTTTAATACTAATATATTAAATTAGTTTTTTTTATAATTATAGTTTATGGTTATTTATTCAAATATATTAATCCATTTATTAATTAGCATTATGTTGTAACGACCAATTTACTGCTCAGTTATGTTACCTATTTGTTTTCAAAATACAGTGTTTGCGTATGGAGAGACTTTCGTTTCATTACTAGTTGCTAGAAGTCTTCAAGGTACTGCTTCAGCACTAATCAGTGTTTCTGGTATAACTTGTTATTAAATAAACATAAATATAATGGATATTTATATATCTATAATAAATTATATTTCAGGTATGTGTTTAATTGCTAATCAAAATCACATGTCAGATTTGAGACGCAGTAAAGTAATGGGTCTAGTCATGGGAAGTATAGCCTTAGGTGTTTTAGTCGGTTATCCATTTGGTAGCATACTTTATTATTTTGTTGACAAGTCAACACCATTTAATGTTATAATATGTGCCATAACATTCAATTTAGGTAAGTTATATTTAAAAGTTTAGAAATATTAATATACTCGTGAAAAAATAATAATAACAGTTAAAATCCCTAGATGTGATGGATGTTATTTATTTTAATATTTCGGAAAACAATTTTCAATAAGATAGTTATCAAAATGTCTAACAATAAGTCGTTCTGTATATAGAATTAATTTAAAATTTAGTACATACCTTAAAAATTTTAAAAAATCAATTAGTGGCAAAAATCCAGATGAAAAATCATTATTTTCGTTTCAAAGGTTAATATTAATGGTATAATAAAAATATTATAACAACATTTGTTAGAGAATAAATTATTACTTTCGTAATACGTTTAAATATCTTATCTTCAAAATTTAAACTTGGCTGTACAAAAAGATGTATCTTACTTTAAGTGTTATACTAAATATAATTTTTAAATACTAGTAAAAAAAAAAACTCATGAAGAATTTAAAATTCCATTTTCAAGCCATAATTTTTAGAATTAAAAAAAAAATATATATACGAACTTTCAACTAAAAAATAATATTTTAGTGGCATTTTCATGATTTTGACAAATTTCATCAAAATTTGAACTCAAATAAAACTGACTTATAACTAAATTATAACTTTATATTTGTATATTGCTGTGAGGACAATAAATAAAAAAAAACCTTAGTTAAACTATAAAACTTTAAGACCTAAAACTTAAAAAAAAAAAATATTTTTTTCTCAAGTCTTTTTTTTTAGTTCAGAGCTAAAGTATTTTAAAAATTATATCATGTCTAGAAAAAGCATTTTTTATAGTCTTTCCGGATTATTTTTAAAAAAAAGTTCTGGAAATTTTTTAAAACATTTTTCCTACTTCAAAACGTGATGACAAACCTAAAAGCTAAATAAAAAACACATTCATATAATACATTCATTAGTCAATATCTAAAACAATCTAACATATTTAAGCTTATAAGTAATATAAAACAAATTATTACAAATTATTTCATGAATACACAATATTAAATGAGTACATCTACTTAGATACGTATATATAAATAATTCAATTTAAATAACCTATAATATTTAAAATAAATTTAACCAGTTGTAAAGTATAAATTTTATATGGACCTACTAGAATTGTTTTTAGATTTAAGTGATCATTTTTTTTTTTTTTTTCAAAAAATATATTATAAATATACAAGTCTTACAACTCAAAAAGATTGATTTTTTTTTCTTTAACTCAATTAAAATATAATAAATTATAAAAACTACATACAACTACAATCAATAAAGAACATTGTATATTGTTTTTATTTTTCAGGTCTACAACTTTATATTTTTAATTTTAATCTCGTACAAAAGGTTAGTATTCCAATAATATGTAATAATTTATCATGTTTTTTAATTTTCAGTTAAATAAAAAATACTTATACATTTACTTTCAAACATATTCAATATTTAAGGTTTATAATTTTTCTTTTTGATATATATAATATGATGAAGACATAAAAACAGAATACATTTACAATAAAATTATTTAGTTATTTAAAAAAAAATAATTTATATCATATAATATGGCCTATTTGAATTAAAACGGTATTTTACAAAAAAGTTAATTTCAGCTTTTAAGTTTCATATTATTAACAATGGTTATGTTTTTAATTTACACATTATGTTGTTAAAACACGCCACTCAGTTATCCTATCATGACATTTTCTACCTACTTAACACTTAATATATTTTTGAATGAAAGTTTTTTTTTTTCTAAACAGTTAAATATATTATATTGTATTTCTCTCGCCTACCTATAGAAACATTCAGCTTTCATCTATTCTCATAATCTCAACTACTTGTTCCCTCATTTATCATCTAGTTTACCCCTAAACTGTTCCCAAGCTTTGTGTCCTCTGAAAATAACATTTTATATTCCTCACAAAATTCTTAAGCTTCTTCTCCTTCCTTACCTTCTATTTCGTTTCTTTTATAAACATGACAAATGATCAATCTTCTTAGTTTCAGAGTTTAGTTAATCACTATCTTTATAAGTACAATTCTATAGTCTATTATATTAATTTTTAGCTTTCTTTTATACCTATATAACCTACTATTTCTTTCACTATCTTATTTGAAAACTTTGTTAATCTATTGTGGTCTAAATAGTAAATATATTTAAATTATAAATAATTTAACATAAATATGATTATATTTATTAATTATTTGTACTTCAACAATGTGTCTAACTTTTGTTTTATACATTAGGAAAATTCATTCAATGAGATATTGCAATTAAAACAAACATCTAATGATAAACATCAAGTAGGTATTTAATTTAATTTTTTATAATAATGAAAATATTATTGTAATTTATTATTATCATTATTAAGTTACTGTGTGCATAAATAAAAAAATAATTTTATTCATTAATTGATTTTATGGTCAAATAATCACATTATTGTTTTATATATTTACTCATAATTTAATTTAAAATTTGTCTAGTTTTTTTTTATATTAACATTTATTATACTTTATAAAAACCTACCTCACAAACATTTTTTTTTAATTGAATATTTCTGTCATTAATAGATTCATTTTAATAATGGTAACTGGAAAGATCTTTTAAAAGATGGATATATCCTGTTAATCATTTTTTCTATTTGTCTGACATCATCTGCCATGGCTATTTTGGAACCGTTTTTACCAATTTGGCTCATTCAAATTATAAACCCAGAAGTAATATGAACTTTTTGAAAACTTAAGATACTGTAATAACATCGTCATTATTTCAGAAATGGCAGCTGGGTACAGTTTTCATTCCGGATAGTCTCGGTTATTTAATTGGCACGAATTTTTTTGGAACTTTGTCATACACAATGGGACAATGGAAAATGGCAATACTAGCAACTCTGCTAGTTGGTATATCAGCAATTGTGGTTAGTTAACCGTCATATATTCAATAATTTATAATTACCAATGTTAGTGAAATAAGTACCTACTCATAACTTACCGTGATATTATATTATATGTATATTTATCATAACTTAACTTCATATTTTAAAAGATTCCGGCTGCTACGACGACAATAGGACTTATTTGTCCACATTTTGGTTTGGGTCTGGGTATAGGAATAGTGGATTCAGCTTTGGTTCCCATGCTGGCAAATCTAGTGGACACCAGACATCCAAACGTGCATTATGGATCGGTATACGCACTCCAACAAACAGCCGTTAGTTTAGCATATTCCTTTAGTGAGTTAAACAGTTTACGTAATATTATACTCGTACATTATTAATTACAATAATATTTTTCATTTTTTTAAAAACAAATATAATATCGAATTGATTTAAATAATATTAAATACTTCTATATTCATATTTAAAATTGTAAAATTTTATTGTGCTATTATGATACTATTAGATAAAATAAATTTTATCATTTAGTATGTACCTAATATATATTTAAACCTGTACCTGTCTTAAACATATTTACTGAGGCAAGTACTGTAATTTATGATTTAAGGTCCTATTTTTGGTGGTCAAGTGGTTAAAATTCTTGGATTTCCATATTTAATGAGAACTGTAGGAATCATAAATATATCTTATTGCTGTCTGTTAGTATTTTTAAGGAAAGTTTCGAACAACGAAACGGAGAAGGTACAAATAAATATATCTTTGATAGTAACCAAACATAATACACTAATAATTTTTTTTTTTTTAGATTAATATTGATACGTCTATTCCCGATTATAAGTCCACAAGTGTTGTATCATTCTTTAACAAACATATCGCTTATAAAAAACTCGACGAAATGGATGAAAATAATTAAAATCGTTAATGTTAATACTATTAATAGTAATAAACACAAAGCTTAATAAGTATTATTTTATAGTTACATGATATTTTCATTAATAATTATTTTATATTTAAACTTATAATACAAATTCGAGAATATTCTGAAATAAAAAGGTTACAACTTTAAAGAGTAAAAAAATCATGCTGGTAAAAACTAAATTAATATTGTCCCACTTGGTGAGTTTTTTAGAAGTAAAAAATTCCAATGCATTTCAAGTTTAAAAATGTTTTTTGAATTAAGTATTTTAATAATTTCATATACTTAAAAAGTAAAGTAAAAACGCACCAACTTAAATGTAATTTATATAATATTTTCTAATTAAATAACATGTATACTTTTATTACATTACCTAAAATATTTTTTAATCCGTTAACTATACAATTTAATCAAAATAAAGTACCTAACTATGCATTGTAATTTATTGCAAAAAAAAGTTTAACACATATAATATTGTTTTTCTAGATTTAACATTTAAAAGCAATGGTTAAGTTATCAGTATTTACTATGGGGACGGCATGATTCAAAACACGTGTATATGTGGCGAGGATTTGTTACTAAAAAGTAAAAATGCAGGTGGTCACCCATCTAGGAAATTAATGACATTAGTCAATGCTTGATCTCAAAGCACGCAATGACTGAGGCCAACCACCGTAACATACTAGACCAATACATTATTATTATTATTATTATTATTATTATTATTGTTATTGTTATTTAACTATAATAATATCAAAATTAATTTATAATCACTAAGTCTTCATTTATAATGTTTATATTTTTTATAATATCAATTTTAATCAAAAAGCATAAAACCAGAGTATCCAATACTAAATTGATAATTATTTTTAACATACAAATGTTAGTTACGTGTAAACAAATCATTTAAAATGAGTTAAATTACGAAATTCTCATTTCTAAAAATATCCATTTAAAAAAATGATACAGAATATTGTAAAAAAAAAATGTATGATTATTCAAAATATATATTATAGTATATATAATATATATATTATATTATGTATTGCTATTATAAATTATAATAGACAATAGTTGACAATAAGTCACTTCTGTGGAAATTATGTCAGACTAACTTTCGTCCAAACGGTCGATAACAAATCGGTTACATTATTCGCTCCGACACATAAATATATAATTATGTGTGAGATAAACATAGGATCATAAATGTAAAAAAAATCGGTTTCATTAATTTTTGAAAAAAAAATTGTATCAGAAATATAGTTTTAAGAAATATTTATAAAAACTTAAGATTAAAAACATTAATACCTGATATTCAAGTAGGGATATTACATTAATTCTATCGGTATATATTTCGAGGCATCAATTAAAAATGTTATCTGAAATAAAAAAGATTTGTTGTTTTTATATTATATTTTTTGGATTTCAATCTTCCAAAAAACACTGTAAATGATATTTTGTACAGTCGAATAAACCATTCATTATTTCCAATCAAATTATATAAGCTCCCTCTCCTTGCTATCCCTAATGATTCTTTTCTATACTCTATTCACAAACGGCTAACGAGATAAACGGTAACCTTTTGCATACCTCATTTAATTGTCTTTTACTTTCAACACAACGTAGTGAAACCTTAATCCCTTATTGTCCTGCCGAAATGTCTTACCAGACATAATTTAATCAATTTTCTCATTCAATTTATTTCCTGTCACCAAATACCTACGACCTTCTTCATTTATAAATAAATTTACTTAACTCTCTAAAATATATTTATTTCATTACTTTCGAGGATTAATTTAATATATAAAATGTCAAAAACAATGATAATAAAGCTAAATTATGAAAACAATATATTATGATATTGTAACCTAATACATTAAAATGTTATATTATCCATACATTTTAGTTAAGTATAGTTTATCATCAATATAATATGATATTGTATCATATAGGTATTATACATTATTCAACGATTAATTATTATTGATATGAGTACATGATTAAAGAAATTTTTTCCTCGTCACGTATTGTAACAAAATGTACGAGATACATAAAATATAAGTTATATTTTGCCCTAATTAAGTATTTGGGGTGAATTTGCATTGCATTTGACAGACGACAGTTATTTAATATTTTACAGTTGAACTGCAGTCCGAGAAAGAGTATAGCGACCGATTTACCCTAGCTAGAGTAATGGGTAAGTAAAATATTGTACAAAATTTACAAAAACAGTGTGAATATAAAATATTATCTGTATCAATTCTATCCTGTATAATATACACAATACATATACTAATATTATATATTATATTTTATGTAATATTTGCAGTTATACTTAATATTAAAACTTTTCTTTACTTCAGGTTATTTAATAAGAACTCATAACTCCAATATTTGATTAACTGTTTTTCTAATAGTTAAAAAACACTGGAAACATAACATTAATAATAATACACTTTAAATAATTACAAATTGTCTATTATCCAGCTGATTAATGAACTGTATAATATATTAGGTATGCGCATGAACTATATAACACAAAATTGATTATCTGATGATATGGAAACAGGAGTCATTAAATCGAGGATTGAGGTAGGGAACTATAGTAACTACAAAATCAATAAGATAATTTTCTATTTAATAGTAATTACAATGTGTTGTATATTTTAATAGCAGAAAATATCTTAACAAATTAATAATATTATGAGTAGGTCTCAGGTTTTTACATCGGTTTAGAAAAGATCTAATAAAATATTTTGTCATGTTGTAATGCATAGTTACATAGAATTGTCGTAAATCTCGATGAGTATTTATTTTTTTCTTCGTCTTTATGTGTATTGAGTAAAAATATATAAAATTTACATATTTTTAGATAATTACATAAAAATTACATATTTTATACACATGAAATTAAATACTTAATTTTTTTTCACCATTATTTTTATTTTTATAATTAAGCGAATATTTACAATCCGTAGTTCTACTGTAAATAAAATAAGTAAATATTATATTATATAAGCTATAAAATACAAGGACAAAGCTTAAGTGAAAGGAATGACATTCATAGACATCTATTTTATTCTTAGATATTTATTTATTTGTCTAGAGACAATGAGTTTAACTAAGAACTAAAAAGGTCTCTGAACCTTATGCCGAAGTTTGATTAAATATTTGATTGTAACGGGCTATTAAGCTAATTATTTGAGCCCAATATCACCGAATGATATTATGACAGATACATTTATCGTTATATACTATATACATATATATATTTAATATAAATACAATATTAAATTTATAATTTCAAACTAACGCCATTTCAATTGGTTGTTAATTAACTTACCAAAGTAATAAACAATAACTAACAACTTGCAGTTCATCTCTAAAAGCTTCGATCCGTTTTCAAAGTATTTCTCATGTAAATCGTTTTTATTTTGTGTGCAAAACATAATTATTACGAAATGCCTGATACTTGTGTACGTGTAATAGTAGTTACAAGTACGTTACCTATACGTACGTATAATATTATCGGGAACACGCTTGGCGAATAAAAAAATTCAAAACGGACGAGAGGATTCGACGAATGCGATTATACCTATACGATGCGATACCATATTGCACCGTTAAACGGGGCGGTGGTGTCGTCGACGTTAGCTTTAAGATCTATCCATCAGGATCCGTCAATAATTTGGTACGAATGACGAACGTGCCGGAAGAACAACCTGCCGATCTGGGGAAGGGAGGGCGCGGCTTGTGGGTAAATCTGGTTATCCTGTGATCGATGGACGGGGGCGTGTCGTAATCGTCGACCGGAGTCAGCGGCCGGCTCCTCGGGATCGAGTGTATGTGCGACCCGGCCGGCGAGTAGTAGTTCGGGTTGGACTGGCCTTTGAAACTGGTCGACTGGCATTTGGGAGCGGCCACGTGCACCGAATCGTACAGGGCCTGCGTGCTCCTGTAGTTGACGTCGGTGACGCTGGCGCCGCCGGCACCGCCGCCGCCGTGACCGTAGCCGAGCGACGGTAGCGAGCTGGTGATCTGTTCGCGGACGATGCCGAACATCATCATGTACGTGCGCGGTATGAACACGGTGACCACGATCACGGTCGCGGTCGCCGTCAGGCCGACCATGACGCACATGTCGGACCACCGCCGGGGAAGCGCCGCGTACGCCGCGCACCAGCACAGCCAGACGGCGGACACCAGGTAAGTGGCGACGGCGAAGCAAGCGCCCTCCCGGTAGTTGCGCTTCGACCGGAACACGAACGGGGACACGACGCACAGGAGCGCCAGCAGCAGCGCGTCGTAGGACATGGTGCCCAGGAACAGCGGGCCGTCGACGAACACGTGGCACAGGTCGGACGACGGCACGGCGGCGGCGTGTATGGCCGCGAACTGGACCGTGAGCGCCAGCTGCACGCCCACGGTGAACGCGAACAGAGACGTCTGCAGGTAACCGTTGACGTGGCTCATGAAACTCGAGTCGCAGTCGCACGCGGCGATCATCGTGCTCCGGGCCAGCATGGCGGAGAACACGAACGCGCAGCTGCCCGACGAACCGAACAGCTTTGCGTAGCACACGGCGTGCCGCGGCCAACCGGCGGCGGTGTCGCGCACGGCGAACGGCACGGCGCTGGCGTACATCAGCAGGGCGCCGGCGATCAGCACGAACGTGAACGTCGGGTTGCCCTCCATCACGTCCTTCTTGCACACCCGCACCAGTATGAACGACGCGATGCACGCGGCGCACGTCGCGCCCACCGCGGACACGGTCAGCGTGGACGCTATCCACACGTCCTCCTTCCACGTCACCAAAAGCGGACCGCGCGGCGGAGACTCGGGCGCGGCGGCCGACGCGGGCCGCGCCCGGCACGTCGGACACGACGAACCGTCCGTCTCGCTGCACTTGTCCAAGTACGTTGGCC